TTTTCTATCTAGTTATCCTTGACCATATGCACCCTGCAAAAAACTCATGAGAATGACTAAGCATTTAACAGCCTACCTAGACATCCTGTCTCCACTAAACATTTCTAATACAGCAAGTATCTAACCAATATCTATCTGACTAAAAAATACCTAACAATAGGGTGACTCATCATCTTCTCGGATGAGACCAATGACCGTTGTATCATCAGCAAACTTAAGGAGTTTAACAGAGGGGTCCTTCGAGATGCAGTTGTTGGTGTAGAGTGAAAACGGCAGAGGGAAGAGCACACATCCCTGGGGGATGCCTGTGCTTATTGTCTGGGTGCTGGATGTGGTTTTCTCCAGCCTCACCTGCTGCTTCCTATCAGAAAGCTAGTAATCCACTGACAGGTGGGGGCAGGCACAATGAACTGGGTCAGTTTAGAGTGTAGGATGTGCGGGATGATGGTGTTGAACACCAAGTTGAAGTCCACAAAGAGGGCCCGCGCATAGGTCCCTGGGGAGTCAAGTTGTTGCAGGATGTAATGCAGTGCAATGTAAACTAGTAGGGGGTCTATGGTGTCCTTCAGGTGGGCCAACACCAGTCTTTCAAAGGACTTCATAACTACAGATGTCAGGGTGACAGTTCTGTGGTCATTCAGTGCACTGATGGGGGTTCTCTTGGGAACTGGGATGATGGTGGAGCATTTAAAACAGGAAGGGACTTCACACAGCTCTAGTTACTTGTTGAAGATGGGGGCCAGCTGATCAGCACCCACATTCAGGCACGAGGGATTCACACCATTTGGGCCTGGTGCCTTTCTGATCCTTTGTTTTTTAAAGAGGCCACACAGATCCTTTTCACAGATCGTTAGAGGTGGGGGGCTGGAGGGAAGGGTGGTGATTTTCAGGGGAGCAGGTGCTGGGACTGAGTTGGGGAGGGTGAGGGGGGGAGTGTTGTTTGTCAAACCTGCAATAGAACACATTCAGGTCGTCTGCTAGTTGACAGTCACAGCAGGGGGGATAGTTTTCTATAGCCAGTGATGGTTCTCAGACTTCTCCCTACAGACAGGGAGCCATTGGCTGAAATTTGAGCTTTGACCTTTTCAGAGTAGCTCCTCTTTGCTGCTCTGATCTCCCCTGTCAGTGTGTTCCCTGCCTGGCTGTACAAAGTCCTGTCTCCACACCTGTAAGCCTCCTCTTTGGCACAATGAAGCTGCATGAGTCTTGCTGTAAACCAGGGCTTGTTGTTGCATGTGCAGAAGGACTTTTTGGGCACACACACATCCTCACAAAAGCTGATATAAGATATCAGTGTCAGTGACTTCGTTCACCCAGGTCTGTAGCTGCAGTCTCAAATACACTCCAGTCTGTGCAGTCAAAGCAGGCCTGTAGCTCTGACTTGGCCTCCTCAGTCCAGATCTTCCCTGTCTGACCACAGACTTCACAGCTTTAAGTTTCTGCCTGTAGGTTGGAATATGATGGACCATACAGTGATCAGAGAGTCTGAGGGCTGCGCGGGGAACAGAGCGTCTTTTATTGTGTAGCAGTGGTCCAGTGTGATTTTGTCCCTGGTGGGACAGGTGACGTGCTGTCTGTATTTGGGCAGTTCGCGGTTGAGATTTGTCCTGTTAAAGTTCCCTAGAACAATGAGTGGAAAGTCAGGATGTTCTAGCTCCAGGCTAGTTATCTGTTCTGCCGGGAGCTGTAGTGTGCTAGCATGGGCCTGCGGCTTTAAATAGGCATCCACCAGTATGAAGCTTGAAAATTCTTGGGGAGAATAGAAGTGTTTGCAGTTGAACACCGAAATTTGAAGTAAAAGTTGCTTATTTGAATTTCTTTTTTGAAAAGAATTCTAATGTGTTTTAACAGGTTTTAGTGATATTGTGTTAAGCACTTTGGTCAGCTTCGGCTGTGTTAAACGTGCTATATAAATAAAGTTGATGATGATAATAATGAATATTTAATTTTCTTACAGGTGCCATGCTGTCCGACACTTCTCCTGCCCCTATGTTTTAACAGGAATTCTATCTTTCCTCTCCCACTCTCTGTTTTTTGGAATTTTGGACAGCTTGATGAATTTTGAAACACTTTGATGAACCTATGTCTTGGAACACATTTATTGGTGCCCTTGTTTATGGATAAACAGGTTAGTGGTACCTCATCTGCCTATCTGTATTGATCTGAGAGTCTTTCTGCTCTCCCGCTCTATCTGTCCTGTCTTCTGATAAATCCAATTGGCAGTAAACACCATCTAATTCTATATTTTTGCTAATTGGTTATAAATTTGGGAATATTGTACCTGCAAAAAAACATGGTTTAGTAATAGAATATTCTTTATTAAGCTGATTTTTTCCCCCCACATTTTATTAAGAAATGTAGAAAATATTTAATTTGACCTTTATTCAGTCATAGATCAACCATTGGCTCATAATTTATATAAGTCAAATATATTGATAGTGCTCACTCTAAATTCATATTTTATTCTCGAGAAAAGATAAATATATAAAAATAACAAATACAAAATAATTGGACTGAAAAAACAAGAGCACTGTAGCTGTTCCTGAGTCCTATTGCTGTTGGTCATTCCATGCTTGTCCAGGTTTGTACTCAAAGGTTTGATCTGACATCAAATATCTGTATTCATTCATACTATTTGAAAAAGTCAGTGTATATATTTTGCTGTTGTAATCTCAAATAAAAACAAACACACAAGAGTAAGAAGGACCTGGAGTGGAGGTTGCCTGTCTGGAGACACAGCGTTGCTGGGCCTGACTGATCGACACCAAGTGGAATCCTGCCAAGCCAGAAGCATCATTTCACCAGACACCTGATTACCAAAATTGTGTTGTTGATTTTGAATACAAGACTTTACACAAATATATACAGTATATACAAGGGTTTAGGAAATG